TTCCAAAATAAATAATTACAGGAGTACAATTCTGAGCATGCTCCTGACTAGGATTTAAAGTTTTAAACCGTCTTCCGACGCTGCTTGGACTTCATTTCCCAGAAAGTAGCTGGACTTGGAGGCCGGGGCTGTTTTTTGAATTTCCCCCGAGGGAGAGAAAAAAAAATTGTCCGTACCGCTGGAACTGCCATCCCACTCCTTTTCTTCAAGCTCGGGACAAGGTAACTATCCACCCAACTTTCCGGTCCCCAAGCTGCGGTTCGCCTCGCCATTCTCTCCCGCACGGGATCTTCCTTTAATGCAGCTCACCTGAAGTTTGCGGGGGTAGGCGGGGGGGGGGGGAGAGAAGCAGCTTCTCGCTTTCAGACGAGCTGACGAGAGAGTGGAGATCACCTTCTACCACGCGCTGCTCACGAAGGCTGTTGCGGAAAATTTTGGGGCTTTCCTGTAGGTTGTGATTGAGCCGAGAAATGAATTTTAAAAAAAGAGAATCGGATCTTGTTCAACTTGCTGGAAAATAAAGGTGGCGGTGGAAACGGCGTGGATTATATACACGGGTCCTGAGATTGGTTATGCATTTGTTCTTACGTTTCTGGAAACAGGCTATAATGATAGAGACACTAAGAGTGTATAGAAGATTAATTTGGCTTGTAATTGCCTCTTTATTTGGAGTAGTTTTTTAAAATCTATGTCCGGTAGTTTGCCTAGAGTAGATAAACTCTATTTGTAGAGCTGGAAGCTTTTCCGAAGCAGACTTTAGACTTGGGAGATATGATTCGTTTTCTGGGTGAATCTGGAAATTCTGACTACTGAGGCTTGAAGCAAAGCAGCAATTTGTGTAAGGGAACAGTGTGGAGTGCTTCCGAGCACAGGCTGAGCCATAGGCTTTATTGTAAATGCCAACAATTTCACATCCTTTGAATTCTCAGTTGTTTTAATAAGAATTTGGGGGGGTTGCTGGGAAGATGCCGTAATTGTGAAGCAATAGAAAATGACAATACAATCAGCATTTGCATTTACCACCAGTTACACAATTTTGTCTTCTCTAAGCATCAACTAATAACCTACATTTTCCACGCTGTAGTTACACCATGTTGGCTGAACAAGCACTCTGGGGAATTAATGTTTAAAAGTATCTGGAAGTTCCAATTAGTGTAAACAGTTGCAGCTTGGTTGCTGTCTAGTGCTATGACATCTAAGCTGAGTGATTGCTTACTGCGCCCAGTTGAAGGTGTCAGCATTAACTTTTAATTCTCAAGCTGTGTAGGACCTGATTTTCAAAAGCCTTTCCTCTTACAACCCTGTCTGGGTACAAACATGGAGAGAAATATGCTTTATCTTAATCTGTTTTTTTTAACCATACTTGCAGAAAGACAAGGTGTGAAGACAAACACCGGAAAGATGATTGGAGGGAAACTTAACTTATGGAGTTGCCGCAAGATGATGCTCGCCTCATTCTTGGGCATCATTGTGTTGCTGTCTTTCATGAACACCTGTTTTGCCAGTGACCAATACCACCAAAGATCATCTTGGGAAAAGAAGCGTGTGGAACCTGACTTTTTATTTGAAATGACTCGTACTATAAGGAAGGCACTGGAGAATTTGATTGGTAAAGAGAACTTTCAGATGCTGAATGAGGTATGACAGCAGCGCTGTCCTTATTTTTATATATATATGTGGAAAATAAGTCACATACTTATGAAATGAGTGATACAATTTGGGGAAATATATAGTTACATAGTTTTCTAGGAAATTATCCAGAGATAGAACACTCAATCATGCTGTTTAAACAAAAACTTTGTTTACCAATAGTTAGTATGTAATACATCCATAGCCTTCATATTGATTTTTGAGTCTTTTGAGTTTTTCATAGGAAGAAATATTTCAATATATTATTACCTGAGCACTATTCAGGATTGATTTGTATCCCCTGTTGTTGTTGTTGTTTTTAATAGGATTTTGGCTCAAAATAGCTCAGCTTTTCTTTACACAAACACACAAAAGGACCTAGGAAATGTCTTGTACTGCAGTTTTGGTTAGCTGATTATAGTCTATGAACATTCTTTATGTTCTCCCCCCCCCCCAAGTGATGCTATGTAATAATTTGCAAATGATATTCAACTCAGTAAATATTATACTTGCAAAGAGTTAATATAACCATAATCAATTTTAATATACGTTATGGTTTATAAATGAATTATAAGTTGTACAATCACATTTTTCTCCTGCTGCAATTCTTCTTTCCCTCTCCTCCACCATCAAATATTTTACTTGAGTCTTTTCCCTCATATTTCCTCCACAAGCGTTCATCAGCTCTTTAGGATATATTTTGAGAGTACAGTGTACCCTAAATGTGGAAGAAAAATTATTCTCTCTCCATCTTACTCCTAAAACCCTTTTTATCTTGTGGGTGGGTGGGTGGGTATGCGTGCACACACGCTTTTAAGTCAGTCCTGAGCTCTGGAAACTGCCTGCAGAAGTCCCTACAGTTTTCTTGGGAAGATTTTAGAACTGGTTTCTTCTATATTCAAAGGGATTCTAAACAGCTTATTCAGTATAATATATTATAATGAGTATCTAATGGATGGAAAGAAAATATAAATTGATTTGCTTCCTCACAGGAATGACAGTTACAAACTCCTATAAGTTTCAGATTGTAATACAAACCATTTTCTGAATGTCAAGTCCAAATCTTATACTTCTGTTTTTTAAAAAACAGATTTTCTGCTAAGTTTTCAAACATCAGACTCCTGATTATGCCAACATATGCTCCCAATTCAGTGTAAGCTATTCTGAAGTTCAGAAGTAATGTCATAGCTGGTTGACCGTACTTTGTATAAATTACATGAAAGGATTTCCCCATAGCCTTAGAATAGTATCACAAAAACCCCTGGCTTCTCTGACCCCACTTGGTTGAGAATGAAATAGAGTTTACAGGGGAGAAACCAATGAAGATGGAGTTCTGTGGGAATAAGGTCTCAGTTCTGCAAAATCCTTTGAGTATAAAAGCTTGTACTTGTGATCCTTCGTCTTTCACAGACACTTTCACTGCATAGATGGTGGGAGAATGAAACTGGTGGTGAAAGCATTGCCACGCCAATAAGTTTGTAAAAGCCGTTTATACTTTTTTAAAGTATGCTGGGCAGGACAGAAGTCTCATCCTGGAAAGGTTTCCGTTGGATTTCAGCCTACTTCTACTTCATTCTCCAATGGCTCTGATACTTTTAGTGGCTGGTATCTTCAAATCTGCTACTATATCAGCCAAGCAGGCTCTTAGTTTTGTGCATGATTCTGCCATTTTGCCATTCAGAGCACATGTGCTTTTATGCTTTCCATTTTACAATTTTAGTCATCTGATAAATCTGCACCTTATTATCGCTGCTCGATTTAATCCCGACTCATTTCAGCACTGGAGGGAGCTGCAGCCCTACTATTTGCTATGTGGCCCAGGCGATCCCCTTTATGGTAGTAGATTGACATGTATTTTTTAGAGTTGCTCAGAATGTTTGATAATAAGTGCTGTAGAAAATTCCGTGTTCTCTTATTTGGTCTCCTACTTACAGAATATGTCTAACCTGCTTTGGATAATTTCCTCTGGAATCTCTTCAGCCTTATCTGTTGTGGCTCGAATTGTAGGACAGTTTCTTACATCCTTTGGATTGGCTGGTAAGTGACCAGGTTATTGGCATATTGGGGGGGGGGAGGAAAGATGCAAGTTAACAGAAGAAGTTAAGCATGCTGCAATCTAACAGTATCAGGGGACACAGTCTTATTCTTACTTTAGTCCCCCTTTCAATTTTGTGGTATTGTCTTCCAAGTAAGCAAAGGAAGGATTGCGATATTAAATGTGTGCCTAAAACTGAATCATTACTGAGTGGGAATCAGCATGCTTTTTTTGCAGCCAAAGCCAATCTGGTTTGGTTCCTATTAATCTTAGACTAGTAATGTACCGTAGCATGTGTATTGTTGTTAGTATTCATTCAGAAAGTTATGAGTTTCTCCAAAGAGGTAAAACCGAACTCCTAGCGATCAGAAGATACCCATGTGGTTCTCTTGGTGACAAGGTGAACAAATAGATACTATTCATCTTCCTGATAGCCCTTTCTTCAACAGTTCAATCCTGGGTAGTTTTTTGAGAGAAACCCAAGTTGAGCCATTTAAGTTTGCTACTAAGTATTCCCAGGGGTTTTTTTTTTTGTCATAGAATGCCCAGAACGGAGTTCCGGCACCTTTTTTGGATGGAACCTTGTAGGGTAGGCAAGACGGGTTGTATGACGTGTGTGAGTTCCGGCACCTTTTTTTTTTTTTTAGAAAAAAAGCACTGAGTATTCCCAAATCTTAAGCTATCTTGGGAGCTTTTGGGGTGGCCTAGCCATACCACTGGTAAATCCCATGCCTCTCTCTGGTTGCCATTTTTTTATACCTTTCTGCCAATCTGGAAGAAAAGCCTTTTTCTTCCCTCCCTAGAGGCTTCCTTACTGACATCCTCAATGCTTTTCTTTTGGAAAATATGTTGCTGACCAGTTATATGGCTGAGAATGTTACATTGGCATCTTTTTGCCGTCATCATAAATACACTTTGTCCTGAGTCCTTGGGGGGGGCATTTTCCAGTAGGAAAGGTCCACTGGGTTTAGCAGAGTCAGTTTCCAGGATGTAGTCTTGTGTCTTTCCTGAACTGATAATGTATCTAAAAATATATTTAAATATGAATATGTCTATTGCAAAAACAATACTATACCCCTGCCCAGATCGATGAAATTAAAGGTAACTTTGTTGACATTTGTATATCTCAGAAAAGCCAGTTTTGGTTTATTATAAATGAGCATGATTGCTAATAATTTGATGCATCTTAGCTCTTTCTCACCTCAGAAATAACAAAGTACACCCAGCAATCTTCATGATTTATTCAGCATTATATCAGAATTAAGTTCTGTGATTGGTTCCTCCATAACAAGTTAGAATCTGAAGTTAAGAACAAACATTGGCTTGCTATTCTCTTGTAACGGTTGAGATTTTGTTATGGGAGTAGGTTTATAGTATTGGACTTTAGTCAAATTAGAGTTTGAGTTCATTAAAGCTTTCGGTTAAAATTAGTGCCAGGATAATGTCTGAGAGCACTGTTTTATGCCTTAGATTTAGATTACAGTTGAGATTTTTTTAGAGATTCAGTTTACAGTATTTATTTGCACTGGAAGTATGGTAAACTTAAGGTTTGGGATGTTTAAGGTTACATTGTAAGTATTACTATAAGGGCCAGGATTAGCATTTTTATGGTTAGCTGTAATTGTCATAGCAAGTCCTGCTATATAGCCCCTTTGGGGCAGTGGCAGGATGTTTCTGGGAGGGATGACAATGTAGCAGGAATATTTTCTTCCAGGAGGGTCACCCAAGACATGGTGGTCATGCCAGCTGCCCAAGACATAATATCAAAATCCTGAATGAGTGTCTGAAGGCTGGAACTGGCTGGGGAGGAACAGATTCACTCTCAGTCCTGACAAGATCAATTAGCCTTGGTCTTAGATAGGTTGTACTTTCACAAGACTGTTGCGCTATCTAGATATTGCCCTGAATTTACAGCTGGGAATTGGGCAGCCAATAAATAAATAAATAAATAAATAAGCAGCCACCTATATAGGAATGTTGATGAAAACAGATGGAAATTTTATGACAATAACAAAGGCATCATTTCATATTGCAGTATGCAGGAGAAGGCAATAGTAAATCACTCCTGTATTTTTTTAACAAGAAAATCACATGGCTAGACAATATAAAGTGATTGATAATATAGCACTGGAAGATGGGCTCCTCAGGTCCCATGCCATTCAACATGCTAAAGAGGAACAGCACAAAGGAAACAAATTGATTATATTTATGAGACAAAAAGATGAAAGAGTTCAGTTATAATAGTAAAGACATGGCCAGCGGCTGACTGAAACAGATTTGAACTGCTCATGTTTAAATTTCAAGTAAGCTAAAATGGAAGAACAAAGCCAACTGGTTTCTATGATATGTTCCTGAAAGCTCATCCCTTTCAAAAATTCCAGGAATCTCTTTGATGTCCTGGACTTCACTGATAGGGAACTAAAGAATGAAATCAAGTAAATGGCTAGGGGTAAATGTGTAGAGAAGCTGCCTAAGACCAAAAACAGAGGAAACCAGTGTCAAAACAGTAAAATTGACAAGTCAAAGCCAATAAAGATATTACTGTATCTCAGAACAAACTTAACAGCTGTTAGAAGATATAACAACATCCGTGAAGAGATTAAAGGTGGAAATAGCAAAACCAAGGAAAGTCTTGATTTCTAAATGCAGGAGATTCCAACCATGAATTGGTATGATGTGGTAGTACTTACTGTGCCACTAATTTTTAACTATAGTCCTTGATGATTGGAGCTCTAATCTTAACACTAGCTTAATCTTATCTCCCATGCAAATATGTGCTGTGAAACCCATACTGCTTCTATAGGCTTAAACTCAACCCTGAAAAGATTGAATTACTGTAGCCTTTTGGAACCCCCCAGGGCAAGGGATGTTTTATCTTTAATCTAAATGGGATTACACTTTTTCTTTTGGGACTGATATGCAAGTTGTGTGGGTTGAGCAAGTAGAAGCCAAGGCTAAGAAGGCCTTTCAACAATTCCATCCTGTGTGCCAAGGACCAGGAGACCTTTCAGACAGTCACTCACAATTTGATTACCTCACATATAAATTACCACAATGTACTCTACATGAGGCTGCTCTTAGAAATTATTTGAAAATTGCAGCTGGTTCAGAATGTGGTGGCACATCAGTTATGGGCATAACTTATAAGTTTGTGTAATACCTTTGCTCCTTGAATTGTACTGATTGTCAGTAGACTTCAGGGCATAATTCAAGGTGCTGTAAGCCCTCCATGGCATAGGGTCTTGTTATCTAAAGACCATCTGTCTTTGGTGACCTCTGCCCAGCCTGTATAATTGGACAGAGTTGCCATGCTGAAGATCCCATCTACAAAGCAGTGTCATCTGATAAGATCTAGGAAGTGTGCATTGTCTGTTGCTACACTGTTCCCCCCACCCACCCCAGAGTTATCTGGCTCCCACCCTGCCTTTGTTCCAAAGAGTTCTGAAAACATGACTCTTTTTCCGGGCTTTTGGTTAGAGTAAGAAGCTGGTCTTGTGGGTTTGATTGCCTTTCAGTGGTTGCTTGTCTACCAGAGTTTAAAAGTATATTGTATGATTATTTTTACTGTATGTCAGCCAGATATGGGGTAGTACCCTAATCCTTATAAATTTCAAAAATGAACTCATATAAATCTTAAGACTTGTTCAGATATGAGGTTAATCATTCCATGGATTGAAATTTCCTTGAGTGTTTGCATCAGTGCTGAGAGGGGAGCCAACGGACGCCCCACCTTCCTTGTTCACAATGAGTCAAAGAAGCAGCCCAGAGCTTGATAGGCAAACAAAGATTTATGCCCATAAAATGCCCCCCTGCTGCTCTGTGCATACTGGAATTAAGCTACACCATGAGGTAAGAAAGGAGGAATTTGTTTGAACTGTAATACTTAACACTTGAGTGTAGCTGTTCTTTGTAAGTAGCTAGTAAGCATGTTTCTTGCCTGCATGCAATAACACTTCCTCCTAAACCAGCGGTTCTCAACCTATGGGTCGCAACCCCATTTGGGGTCGATCGACCATTTCACAGTTGCCAAGCAAGGCTGTCCGCCATTTTTTCCCCTTTTCCGGCGGGTGCCTTACCTCCCTTGGGCTGGGCCAGCTGGTGGTCGGCCTGCTCCGTCTCTGCCGCTTGCCAGCTACGCCTCGGCCGGCGCAGGGGGCGGAACCACGCATGCGCGGCGCTCCCGGGCAGGGAAAGTCCTCGCCTTACGACCGGTTGGGTAGTCCTCGACTTATGACCGGCTTAGTCCTCGACTTACGACCGGCTTAGTCCTCGACTTACGACCGGTTTAGTCCTCGACTTACGACCGGTTGGGGGTCGCGGCATTAAAAAGGTTGAGAACCACTGTCCTAAACTACCGCAGATGTAGACCATCCTGGCTGAAAATTTGACTTAATTCACCTGGGGTACCATGTGGGGAAAGGCTGTCGTGGTGCTACATTGGACTGAACATATTGCTATTTTCTTTTTTTGTTTCAGGAGATGGATTAACACAGTTTCTGAAGCTGAGCCCTGACCAGGTTCAGGCACTGCTGCTCTGGAGCCTGGCTGCCCTGATTAGCTATTGGGTGCTCTCGCTGCTGTTCAGCCTGGTGCTCACTATCTTGAGCCGCATCATGTGGGGCCTCAAGTTTCTTCTCTTTGGAGGCTGCTTTGCATTTATTGTGTTTACCGTGCCTGACCGTCCGGTACAGGTTGTACTTCTATTGGCCTTGCTGACTCTCTATGTCTTGCTGGGTTGGCTGAGTGGATCCTATCGCTCTGGTGCGAGGCTGGAGGCTAAAGTGCACAGCTTGGAGCGCCAAGTGGAGGAACTGCAACGCCGGCAGAGACGGTCTCCCCGATACCTGGATGAAGAATAAAATTTCAGGCAGGAGGCTGACCACATTTCCTCCAAGAAGCAGCTGCATTTCCCTCCTCCTCTATCCCTTACATTACTTCTTTTTCAGTCTGTCGATGTTCCTGGATGGTATCTTTCCCACCCACTACCATTTAGGAGGATGGCAGTCCTCCCTAAGAAAATGATTGCACCTGACCTACTATAGCTTTTCAGCTGGTCGTGACTTTTAGAAAAGCTCTTTCTCTACTTTTGTCTCGTTCTTTTCGTTCCCCTTCTCAGGCCCCGTTTTCCCCACTCTGTTTTTCATTTCATTCACGGCAGCTTCTTTAAAGACAACAGGCCTGGTAACAAACAATGCTTATTTCTTAAAAGAAAAAACAAACAAACCAGAATTTCGTGACTGGGGATAAGAGAATGAGGATTTACACAGTTCACCACCGGCCCTTGGACGTGATTATTCCACACTATCATGCTCATATTTATAAAACTCAGTGCCTCTGGGATAGTTAAGGATGACTACTCTGTTTGTGGTGCTCCATGCAGCAATCAGGACATTGTGTGTGTTGAAGTTGTTTTAATGCAAGCCAAAGATGCCTTTTAAAAGCAAGTTTACATCATTTTCTTATGCATGCCAGTGCTCTGTGTGAGATAATTTAAGACGGGTTCTGACAAGTGTTCACCTGCTGATCCAGAACAGAGATAAGCCATAAACAAACAATCAAGGGAATATGCACAGGCCTTCCCTCCAGACTGAATTTATACTGCAAGTAAGCAAAACCATAAATTCAGACTTAAGACTTCTTTGCCTATTGGAGAATGGAGACCTGTTGTTTACAGTACATATAAGAAAATGTACTGTTAGCAACATATTGTTTGCCTTTATATGTATATATATATTTTAGATAATTTGAATAGTTTGTTACTGTTTTCCAAATAAAGGCTATCTAATCACATCCCATTGTCCTTGGCTGCTTTTTCAGGTCCTAAAGGGAGGAAATACACAGGTATGTAAGCTGGATGCAAAAAGGATTGTGGATATACAGGTTTATATTGGTATCTTTTTCCTCAGTGCAGAATCTTGTGGAGTGAACTTCTGACGGTGAGGGAAGACAGTGGTTTCTAGTTTGACTTGACAAAGCAACATTTTTTTAACAATTATGCTACAGCCATACATACCTTTTGCATACCTTGAGATTAGATAGAATTGGAATGGGGTGAGGATCACCTTTCAGGGTAAATCTGTTCCATGTACAGGGTAAATATAATAATAATAATAATAATAATAATAATAATAATAATAATAATAATAATAATAATAATAATAATAATAATAAAGTTGGAAGGGACCTTGGAGGTCATCTAGTCCAACCCCCTGCTCAGGCAGGAAACCCTATACCAGACATGTCAAACACAAGGCCCGGGGGCCAGATGCAGCCCGCGAAGTGGTTTCATGTGGCCCGCGAAGCCATCCTGGAAACAGTGAGGGAACTGCCCCCGCTGCCTTGGCCCTGGCCCAGACCAGCCGGGAGCCAATGTACAATTTTGTGGTGGCCATCTTGGCACTTGCCCTGGTGGACCATGCCTTGGCACTTGCCCCGGTCCCACCCCCTTCTGCCAGAGACCCTCAGACCTGTCCCACTCCTGCCCAGGCCCCTACAGGCACCCTTGACATGAATGATGTAGAACTGGCCACGCCCACCCAGTAGGCCACACCCACTCCATCCATGCCCACCCAGTAGGCTGCATCCACTGGTCACACCCACCCAGCCCCCCAAGGGCAACCGCAATGCTGATGCGGCCCTCAGTGAAATTGAGTTTGACACCCCTGCCCTATACCATTTCGGACAAATGGCTGTCCAGTCTCTTCTTAAAAACTTCCAGTGTTGGAGCATTCACCGCTTCTGGAGGCAGGTTGTTCCACTGGTTAATTGTTCTAACTGTCAGGAAGTTTCTCCTTAGTTCTAGGTTGCTTTTCTCCTTGATTAGTTTCCATCCGTTACTTCTTGTCCTGCCTTCAGGCGCTTTGGAGAATAGCGTGACTCCCTCTTCTTTGTGGCAGCCCCTGAGATATTGGAACACTGCTATCATGTCCCCCCTCGTCCTTCTCTTCATTAAACTAGACATACCCAATTCCAGCAGCTGTTCCTTACATGCTTTAGCCTCCAGTCCCCTAATAATCTTTGTTGCTCTTCTCTGTACTCTTTCTAGAGTCTCAACATCTTTTTTATATCGTGGTGACCAAAACTGAATGCAGTATTCCAAGTGTGACCTTACCAAGGCATTGTAAAGTGGTATTAATGTCTCACATATTAGGTGGGAATATAAGCATGGAATCACAATACAACACCGTACAGTAATAGCAACAGCACTCAGACTTATATACCACTTCACGGTGCTTTACAGCCCTCTCTAAGCGGTTTACAGAGTCAGGTCTGCTCATTTTATGCAGGGTCATTCTATGAAATATTCAAGGAAGTTTATTTTTAAGAAGCTCTCCAAAGACTTTTTGTACTAGTGTGTAACTTTTCACTAAGCCTGTGCCATTGTGTAATGCAGGCTAAATGTTATGGACTGTCTGTACAGGGAGTCCTTGACTTACAACCTCAATTGAGCCCAAAATTTCTGTTAAGTGAGACATTTTTAAAAGTGAGTTTTGCCTCATTTTACGACCTTTCTTGCCACAGTTGTTAAGTGAATCACTGCAGTTGGTAAGTTATTACCCTGTAATTAAGGGAATCTGACTTCCCCATTGACTTTGCTTGTCAGAAGGTTGCAAAAGGTGATCACGGGACCTTGGGATACAGCAACGGCTCATAGATTCCCTTACCTGAGTCAGAAGGGCCCAAGTGGTAGTAAGCAGACTCGATAGAGACAGGATAAAGAGAAGGAAATGGGTACAGCAAATTTCAAGCTGGTATCATTTTCTACCAGTTCAAGGCTAGATGGAAAGCTCTGCTCAGCAGTGGGGAAGACTCTTGAGTGTCTTTATACTTTGTCTGCATGAAAGAAAATGTGTGGCAAGAAATATAACTAGTAGCTCTGCCATTCTTTGATGAGCAAGAGGAGACAATCTCTAGAGCAGTGGTTCTCAACCTTTTTAATGCCGCGACCCCCAACCGGTCGTAAGTCGAGGACTAAACCGGTCGTAAGTCGAGGACTAAACCGGTCGTAAGTCGAGGACTAAACCGGTCGTAAGTCGAGGACTACCCAACCGGTCGTAAGTTGAGGACTTTCCCTGCCCAGGAGCGCCGCGCATGCGTGGTTCCGCCCCCTGCGCCGGCCGAGGCATAGCTGGCAAGCGGCAGAGACGGAGCAGGCCGACCACCAGCTGGCCCAGCTCAAGGGAGGTAAGGCACCCGCCGGAAAAGGGGAAAAAAATGGCGGACAGCCTTGCTTGGCGACCCCCGTGAAATGGTCGATCGACCCCAAATGGGGTCACGACCCATAGGTTGAGAACCGCTGCTCTAGAGTGAACTGATTTCACATCCAAAAATGGAGCAGTTGGTTTGATGAAAACGTCAAATGGTTAAAAACTGCCGGCCCATAAACAGAGCTCATTTATCTTGATGGTACTTTATTCCAAGAAGCTAATATATGATTCACTTTAGCCATTCATAATTTTGCCTTGGCAAGCTGAAGATACTAATTGCTCTATTGTTCATTTCTCAAGCCAGCCTCATTCATTGTTAAGTAACAGCTTCTTTGTCATGGTTGTTATTTTATTAATATAAATTTTATTTACAGGCTACTTTAAAAAGTCTGTTGCTAGTCGTGCCAATGCAAATAGGTCATAGCGGTGATCAAACCACATTCTTAAGCTTGTTATAATAAAGCAATAAATTTTTTCTGCGATTCATATTAGAAAATGTACTGTAACCTGCTTATATAGCTGCACCAGCTAATACCTCTGAGCCTTGAAAGCCTAATTTGTCATACAAGCTCCAACAGAAATGCTGTCAAGAAGCATAGATGGCTTCTCCCTGCCTGTATCAGAGCTGGTAGCCCCAGGCCAGGCAGCTCAGGTTTTGCTGTGGAGGAGCAGACCTCTCTCTTTAGCAATAAATTGTTTATTCCCTCATCCAAATTCAATCTCTGCCTCTTGTTATTCTCCTGACTCTAATGGGGCCAGATCTATCTACTACTGTAGTCAAGTAATCACCAACTGCTGAAGGAAGGATTTCAGAATTAATTAACTAGAGGTCAGAGAAAAATTCCAGAAGGTCTTCTTCAAGCTTGGAACCAACAAACAAAATAGCAATGCTTTTTTAAAATGGCATCTAGCACTGTTGTAGCCCTTTCAAATACACCACATCTATAATTTCTTATAGTCTTTACAAAAACCCTGTAAATAAAATAAATTGGGAACTATGCTTTCTTTATTTCAGGGGAAGAGAAGTTGAAAATGAAAATGAAAGTCTGCATGCCATTTAGTGGAGAACACAGTAGATATGAATTATTAACTGGGGACTTCCAGATTTGTACCTCAGCCTCTAGACCAGGGGTCCCCAACCCCCGATCCATGGATCAGTACTGGGCCACAGCATGCCAGCAATCGGGCCGCACAAACAAGGAAAGCCCCATCCACAGGATGCTGGCAGCACACAAAACCATGCCCTCTCCGGTCCATGGAAAAACCTCTCCACGGAACCGGTCCCTGGTGCCCACAAGGTTGGGGACCTCTGCTCTAGACTGCTAAACCCTCACACATCAATTCTTCTACCAATAAGAACATGATCAGAAACATAGGATATTTATCTCCATTTTCTAAGAATAGAGGCTTAGGTTCATGCTGTCCATAAATCAATTTCATAATCAGCAAGAAATGTTATGATCTGCCTATTTATTAGATACCACTGTATCTAATATATAGGGACATAAGAGAAGTGATATTTATAGTACCTAAATGATTAATTGTGTAATTTCACTAATTCTATATCATATTGGCCACTTTAAATAACAATAATGTGGGTAATGAAAAAAAGTTTGGCTTATATTATAAGCATGGAGTAGGATTGGACTCATATCATAGAAGGCAACAGCTTGGCTAACTTAATAATATTTAACTGTAGCTCCAATTTTATGAAAATTCTATATTTCTCTTTAAAAATGGAGTTGTGAGTGAGTGGAAGTCACCACATGGAAGTCGAGCTTATTCTGCTTGGCAGTTACAAGTAGATAGTTCATTTTCACCTATGGGCCAAGTTTTGAAGAACATCTTCCACTCATAAATTTCATATGTTAAACATTCATGTTCTTCTTATGGATTCTTGGAAGCATGTACTGATGAGTTTATCATATCAGACAATGAAATGTCTGCAAGCAAACAACCAAACTCCCAAATCCAAGAAGTCTAGAGTTCAACCCTGAAGTAGATATATGGTATATATTGTTGGATTCATGTTCTTCCATTTTTATCAGGACAACTACTTGGTGTGTTTTTTTAATTAAATAAAGATTTTTTTTTAAACAAGTCTTTTCCTAATGTTGGGTTGGGACTACAGCTCTCAGAATTCCTAGCCAGCATGCTGGCTGAAATGCTAAATCAAGCTCAACTCTTTATTAGCCAAATACAATATTTAAGCTCCTCTCATTAGACGCTAACTTAACTCCACATTTGTTTTTTTATTGAATAACGTTCTCTGTCATTGATAAAATCCAGGCAATTTGGCTATTTGAAACTATTATTTGATTAGAATGTGAAATGTCATAATTATGCATGGATTACAGATGCAATTAGGCAAAAGAAACCCTGCAACAATAACATGCCAAATGTATAAATGAGCTCTGTCATACCTTCTATTCTTATAAGG